TTGTTGGTCTCAATGAAAAGAATTTTGCAACTACAAACATGAATCAACTTTTGTTGCCATCTATGCAATGGAGACATATTGCCCCTCCCTCGCCCAACCCTACTCTTGCCCAACACAACTTTGCTGATTTGCCGTCTGCAAAGGAAAATCTTTTTCTACCATCTTTGCAAACATGGCGCCCGGTTTCTCCTCCCAGATCCAACCCGGGGCACAATTCTGTTTCTCCAATTGGCGAGATAAACTTTGCTAGTTCAGAGTTGAAAAAGGAACAAGTTTTGCTACCATCCCTACAAAAGGGAACTGTTTCCCCTCCATCACCCAATCCTGGGAACAATTATGTTACCCCTCCAGGACCCAACCCTGCTGGGCAAAATTTTGTTAGCTCAATGGGTGAGAAAACCTTTGCAGTTTCAGAGTTAAAAGAGCAACAAGTTTTGCTACCATCCCTGGAAAGGGAACCTGTTACTCCTCCAACGCCCAATTCTGGGCACAACTCAGTCACAACGCTTAGCCGAATGGACTTTGCACGTTCTAAGTTGAGAAGTCAACATATTTTACTACCTTCCCGGACCTGTTACTTCTCCCGGATCCAGCTCTGGACACAATTCAGTGCCAGTTCCTCCCCTCAGGGAGAAAAACTTTGCATATTTGAAAATGATAAAGAACCATAATTTAATGTCGTATTCTCAGAAACTGCGGCCAACTACTCCTCCAGGAACTGATGTTGAGCAAAACTCAGGTTGCAACATTATGGGTACTAAAAAGAAGTTTGCAGCAAGGAAAATGGGTGGTGCTCGTCTTCCCCCAGTGGGTGTATCTCTAGAGGCTTCTAGCTAAGTTTATAGCACTTAAAAAACTAACTTGATAGTATTAAGTCTCTGCGGATCCGATAATCCCTTTTCCTTCTCTTTTTCTTTATTGTTTTTGTTTGATGTTTTACACTATTATTATTACTTTAATTTTTTTTTTCTGTTTCAAATTTATTGTGGCCGTTAGTTATTAGATAAAATACAAGGAATTGAGGAATGTAATAACTAATGCTATGAATGATGGAGTAATAAAAGTGCATTGTTTAGTTCTATTATATAATATTTGTTGTCTCAATTCCGAATATATTTCATATTTGGTTCAAAAATAGATTTTTTTTTTTTTTTTTGGAGGGAGAACTGCATACAATAGGGTATGATCAAGATTAATCTAATCTCAGCTCGGCATGAAATCTTGCCGCTGAGTTTTAAATAGAATAGCTACCAATTTGAACTTATTAAAAGTTAATAACAATGATCAAACTCTAGTCATTAAAATTGTAAGTGGTACGCCATGAAATAACGTATATTTGTGCTCATTTATATTTGTTTTTGGCTCAAGTGTTAAGTAAAAGAAGGTGGAACAATGCTTAATTAATTCGGTATATTTTTTTTTTTTTATTGAAGGAAGAAAAGATCAACTAATGCTGCAATTAGATTCTCAATTCTTTCCTGGACATTCGTTCTCACCTGGTGCATTTTCAGTGTTAAAATGACGATCTTTAAGTGTTAAAATGACGCATATTAAGTGTAGAAATTATATGAATCTTAAGTTCGAAATGTGTATAGTTTGAGAGGTAATAACTACTCCGAATGGTACCTTTCGAAAGGTACCCGGAAGGTTCGAAACGTGAGTAGGTCGAGAGTTAACTACTCCGAACGGTACCCAGAAGCCAGAAGGTTACACCTTAAGTATAGAACTAACGCATCTTAAGTGTTAAATGCCACACCTTAAACTTTGAAAATACGCACCTAAAATTTATAATGACGCACCTTAAACTTTCAACAATATGCTAAATTATTATAATGCCACCGTGTTATTTCTTTAAAAATTTATTTTCATTCAGGGCTGTTGATTTTGGCTAGACCAATGGCTATGATTAATCCACATGTTTCACTTGGGAGAGCTTCCGCACCTGATTCTTTGTCTATATCTCCCCTATACTTATATTTGGGAGTTGTCATTTGCCCCTCAAAAATGGCACCCTTGCTTGTGAACTTGAAGAAGCTAGTGGTATTGTATTTGCTGGTGGCACTAGCTGCTGCTGCAAAGAATTGCCAGCCAAAAATGCAAGAAATCAAATGATCAAATGAATGTAAATTGCGATAGTGCACTATCACTTTAGAAATTAATAACCCGCAATAGACATTAACTACTAATTGTCGACTTGCCGTTAATGTTGTACATACAGGCAGGTTGGAAGAGAAGAAATTGTAGAGCATGCATGAGCTCTCTGAAACTTGGGGGTGTGGTTGAGTGGAAGGGATTCATCCATCCTTAATCAAAAGTCAAGGGTTTGATCCTTGGTTTTGGGTACGAAGCAACCTTAAATCTCCAGGTCAGCTGTTCCACTCAAAAGAGGTGTCTACAATCCAGAGAGGGGATTAGTTACAGTGTCCGACGGTGAAAATCTTGAGTGTCCTCAAAAAAAAAAAAAAAAAGGAGCTCTCTTGTGCAAAAATTGCACTGTGAGCTGTTGATGCTACTAATGAGTGAAAAAGCAATCCTGACCTGGCCTTGTAATGCACAGAGCGTACGGTTGGGAAAGAGCTCTTTAGTCTTTATTTTATTTTGAAGCTCTTCCTTATTTGTTGTGCCTATTTGGGTGTTTGATGGATGAATATTTTAAAAAGAATTAAATAATAAAATCATATAAAAACTGTGTCTGCTAAGAGCATTCTCAATAGTTGTGATTTTTGAGGAATTTTTACAGGTATAATTAGGAAAGAGATAAAAGGGAAGAGAAATAGAAAAAAAAATCTACAAACAAAAAATAAAATTATAGAAGATTTTATGCGCCTAGGAGCGCGTGCACTGAACGCGCGTACGCGCACTTGGGCGCACAAGTAGCGCTGAACGTGCGAACAAAGCATGTCTTCTTCTGCACGCGAGTCCCAGAGTCTTATATTTTCAAATAAAAAATCACACCTTCTGCAAGAATTTTATTTCTTCTCTCTCCTTACCCTATCTTTTTCATATCATTCTTGCTTTCTCAAAAATCATTCCAAAATTCATAGATGGAGAATGGAGATGCTCTACAAGAGTAAGGGGGTATGTATGATTGTATGAAGAACCGAACTTGCAAAGAGAGCTTTATTTCATTTATTAACATATTTATTTTAAAACAAATTTATTCATCAATTCTCGATAGAGGGGAGGGGTAGTGGGGTTGGGATTTTTATTTTTAAATTACTATATTTTAATATTTAAAGTAAATAAATAAAATAATTTATTAATGATTAACCGCCACATTAGCAGTTAACCTGAAAACAAGTCACTTTTAATCTAATTGATTATTTTAGCTTATAAAATATACCAAAGTTTAAATAAATTTTAATTTGGCTTAGATTGTAAGGGTATTGTTTCTACATATTATGTGAAATGAAATGGGCAGTAGTTTAAATCCTATAGCTTTAATTTTGTTTTCGAATTTGTAAATATCAATAGTGAGAATAATTCTAATTGGACTACGTTATTTTAGAGGCAAATTATATCATGCACCTTGATCCAAAATTACGTCGTTTTGTATGTATTTTTTTAGAAATTATATTTCATTTCTCGTTTCTGCTCTTAACTTCCAACAAAAAAAATTCTCTGTTTTGAATGTACAGAATTGTATAGTAGAATACATATAAACTCCTAACATAATACACATAATCTAACATAATACATATAAACTCTTAACATAATACACATAAACTCTAAACATAACACATATAAATTCTTAACATAATGCACATAAACTCTTTAACATAATACACAAAAATTCTTAACAGAATACACATAAACTCTAAACAGAATACACATAAACACAACTGTTTAAAAAAAAAATTATAACGGACGGAACGGTGTCCGTCGTGTCAACTCCCCACACAATTTATAAAAAAGACATCGTTTTGAGTTTGTACGCCCTGGTGCACGATATAACAATTGCATTTTTGACCCTTCATGGTGAACCTTGGTCCACGTTATAATTTGCTTAACAATTGCTCTATCATGCAAAACATGTAGATAATTGAACCTGGTTGTACGAAGCCTTCAACATAAACAGAATATATACAGGCCGACCTGAAGACTAGTAGTTTCATAATTGAGAATCTCTGGAAAAGTTTGATCATATTAGATGGCTCTAATAATACGGCAGACATTAGAAAAGATTAGATTCAATAAATATTATTCGGAATGGGAGTAATTAGGTTAATTATAAATAATGTTTTTAAGGTTAGTTGATAGTACGGCACTTTAATTTGAGCTTAGAATCCTATGTGTAATGTCCCTATACCTAAACTTTAAACTACTTTGACAAATTAACAGTATAAAGGGCTTAGGTTGAAATTATTCTGTACAACCAACCTGGCAGTAAGCTTAGCTTGTTGGGTATAAACGCAAAGCTTCTTTATGCAAACATACACATTCTTATGTCTATCAATCTCTCACCCTCCATCAACCACCTTTCTTTATCCTCACCGCCCATTCACTGCTCTACTTTTTTTTTTTTTTTTTTTTTTTTTTTTAAATTTTTTTTACTGGTATTATCTGTTATAAACTTTCTCAATTTTCTTTCTGATCAAAGAATCAATGCCTCCATTGCTGGGATTCGATCCTGTAACCACCATTTGATCACTTATTTGAAATGATAACAGATGTGCTATTACACTATATGTCTACTTAATACGCAACCCTTTATATATATATATATATATTTATGGTCTGGTTCCGTGCGGATTTGCACTACTAGGTATACATGAATGCACCATCACGTGTTCAGAAATGCATGTGTGGTGCATTTTATGGTATATATATATATATATATATATATATATATATATATATATATATATATATATATATATATTTCTTCTCTTCTCTCCCACTTAACCAACACAACTTTCTCCTTCCAGTTCTCCCTCCATATCTCTCTACTCTGCGGTCAAACAAAAAATTATTTTGTTTTTCTCCTTTTCCTATTCTCAATGGCAATTCAGCAGATTGTGTTCTTTTCTCTTTTGTTGATGATGTTGTTATTATCTGTGTCGGGCAAGAACAACCAGTCTGAGTTCTTTGATCTTATGAAGAAGTCTCTGTCAGGAGACTTGATGGCTGGCTGGGATGGAAAACATGTTTGCAACTATTCCGGGATTGGGTGTGATGATCTTGGTTATGTTGTGAAGATCGATATTTCTGGGTGGTCATTATCAGGCCGGTTTCCAGAAGGCGTCTGTGATTATTTGCCAAAGCTGCGAGTTCTTCGCCTCGGCCAGAATCATTTCCATGGAAATCGGTTTCCTGTCGGCGTCACCAACTGCTCGGTGTTGGAAGAGCTAAACATGACGGGTACATATGTGACCGGAGCTTTGCCGGACTTGACGCCTTTGCAGGCTTTAAGGTCACTTGATTTATCCTTCAACCTCTTCACCGGTGAGTTTCCTTTGTCGGTCACTAATCTCAGTAATCTTGAAGTTCTCAATTTCAATGAGAATGGCGGGTTCAGCCCGTGGCGGCTACCGGCGAATATCACCGGGCTGAGAAAGCTCAAGAGTCTGGTGTTAACGGCATGCAAACTCTCCGGGGGAATTCCGGTGGGGATTGGGAGCATGGCCTCACTGGTGGACCTTGAATTGAGCGAAAATGGCATGGTGGGAAGGATCCCGGGGGAGCTAGGGATGTTACCCAACTTACAACTTCTTGAGCTTTATTACAATCAACTCGACGGAGAAATCCCGGAGGAGCTTGGGAATTTAAGTAACTTGGTGGACTTGGATTTGTCCGGGAACAGATTAATCGGCAAAATCCCGGACTCCATTTCCTGTCTTCCCAACCTACAAGTCCTTCAAGTTTACAACAATACTCTCTCCGGCCAATTCCCGGCCGGCCTGGCTAACTCCACCACCTTGAGAATCTTGTCCCTTTACGCCAATTCCCTGTCCGGGGAAATCCCAGAAAACTTTGGGACGTCACCTTCTCTGGTCGTTTTAGATTTGTCGGAAAATCAATTCTCTGGAAAGCTACCACCAAACCTGTGTAACGGAGGTAAGTTGACGTACATCCTTCTTCTCCAGAATATGTTCTCAGGGGAATTGCCGGAAAGTTATGGGAATTGCCGGAGTGTTGTGCGGTTTAGAGTGAACTATAATCTTTTAGAGGGTAAGATCCCAGAACACAAGTTAAATGTTTTGTTCTAATAAACTCTTTAATATTGTTACAACATTTTCATAAATATGTTGCACAATCAATATGAATTTATATGAACAAATACAACATTAATACTTGTGGAATCCTTTGGACTTATTGTTGGACATACAATCCAATTTGATGTATGAATCCAATTAAATCTAAAATCTTTAGTGGAGTGTCTTAATGATCCTTTTCTAAATGATTGTTTGACATACAATCCAATTTGATGTATGAATCCAATTAAATCCAAATTCTTTAGTGGAGTATCTTAATGATCCTTTTCTAAATGATCACTCCCACTGTTCAGCGAAATTAATGATATACGTACTCATAATTGATTTGACCAACTAATTAATGAAGATATAACTCCCATAAATTAGACCCATAAACTCAATGGTCCAAGTGAGTTATTACATAAATAGAAAATGATCTAGTACTGAAATAGATCCAAACTTAATATTATTACCTACAATAATTACCATTAACAAAATATGGTAGTCAGTAATAAACTAATAATTAAGACTTAGTGAACATGTTATGCATAATAATCAATATTATTACCATAATAAACATGTTATACGTCAAAATAAAATTGCTATAATTATTATTAAAATATCACTCAATAATGGTGGGATCCATACTTTAATGACCCGGATAGATCCTAAATAGCTTGTTCAAAATCGGTTTTAAAGTCCCAAGTGAAATATAGGATTAAAATATGCTCAAAATTAAATGGGAAACCAAAACAAGCAACTTTAGTAGGTCATAATGTCCAAAATTGATCTAAGGATCCAAAGTTGAATGATATTTAATACATAGTCTATGAATTAATAATATGTTAAATCCATCCTTAAAATATACTTTTTTAAATGCATAATTATAACAATAAAATTATAAAAATGCTTAGCATGCTTGGATTTTGCATTTTAATATATATTAACTCATATATATCCTAAACAAATTGCAATACTTCAGACAATTTAATATAACCCTAATATTAAATTAAAATTTAAATAGCAAATCTAAAACTTAATATTTGCCTAAAGTTGAATAATAATCTTTTTTCTTTTTTTGAAAGTTACTGGCTCTATTACATTGTAGTATCTGTTCATATACGTTCTCAACCTACTGAAACACAAAGAACCAGAGGCTCGAACTTATAATCTTCCAAATGGAAGTCCAACCCGGATACCATTGGACCACATAGTCCTGGTTGAATAATAATTTAATTATGAATTTAATGTAAAAATTATTAGGAACTAAAAGACATCAATTTTTCAAGGGGAGGTACCGCCATGGCGCCATCTCTTCATCTTCGTCCACAGCATAGTTGGTTGCTGACCCATCCATTCTCTGTGCCGGAACTGCATCAGCGAAGACAGTTGTCGGCTACCAAAACCGCGAAGTTGCCGGAAACTCAACGCCTATCCGTCGAACATGCTGCGTGTGTCGCAGCACCTTCATCCTCCTCATGTAGCAGCAGAATCAATGGCCAACCTTTCTGGATGATTGAGAGACGGTCTCCCATCAGCTTCATGCTACGCCGTCGTTAGAAACGGAGGAGACAGCCATCACCCTTCTTAATGCCCCCAACCTAGCCACCCCATGGTAGTTGGTTTTCTTTACTCGTACGCAACAAAAAAAAAAAAAAAAAAAAAAAAAAAAAAGGAGGAAAGCCGCAGCGCCCCATGGCGCTGCCATTCACCGGTGCTCGCACTTCACATCGCCGGCCTCCCCGCGCCGTCCATCTCTACCATCATTAGTTCCAGAAACAGAGGAGATGGTGGGAACCTAGCGCCACAGCGTGCCGTCCAAATGGAAACCATAACAGGCACTATAATCCGATGTTTCTCAATCTCCGGTGACACGTAGAACAACACAATAAATTAGCAACAAATTATATCCAAAAAAAAAATTATAATTCCAAGCAATTTTTTTTTTAACAATAAATCATTTACACGAGATTAAAATTGCTTAATGCCAAAAAAAAAAAAAAATTCAGTAGTCCAAAACTCATACAAAATCTTGATGTATATGAAAAAATTAATATTGTTTTTAGGCAAAACAATCAATCAGGCAGATTATAAAGGCTCTGATACCAAATGTGAGATCTACATATCTAAATATGATCTAACCATAGAAAATAATCTACGAGAAACTTAACTTGTAGTAGCGAAAGCGGTAGCACGGTAGATCTCCAGCCATGGTTGATATCTTGTTGTGTTGCCTCTTGAATGGTAGATCTGCAGAATAGGGTTAACCGTTTTGTCTCATACTTGACTCAAGGTACTTTCTGAGCAGCATGAGTACCATAATAATGAATAATATACTTCATTTACGTACGTTTAAATGATTAATGTGTTGTGTACGATGTATACATCTAATATAAGTAAAATTACAGTTCATTTACGTACGTTTAAATGATTAATGTGTGGTTAGGAACACTCATTCATGAAATTAAAATTATGGTATTGAATAAAATACTACCATACCATATAATTTAATTTACAAGTGATAAATTATTGAGCTATTACATTTCAGGTAAAATTAATATTATTGGCTTATTAATTACGTAGTACATTTTAAAGAAGAGAAAATTTCAATTTTGGTCCATTGATTATTGGAGTTGTGTTAATTGCAACACTTGACTTTCAAAAATATTAATTTAGTACCTTGACTATGTAATTTCTATCAATTTTGGTCACGCACGCCGGCCAAATTGCCGGCCAAATCTCACCAGAAAAATTTAATAAGTCAAATAATGAGGGTATTTTAGTCATTTTACTATCTTTTGTTTCTTCTCCAATCAGCTTCTCCCCATTTCCGGCTTCTCCGATGAGCTTTCTTGTTTTCTTTCCCTATTACTTCTCTCATATTTTACCTTTCTCCTCTGTAAAAAAAAACGCCGACAGCTAGTTGTAAACAAAACCGGAGAAGAGAGCGGAGGAGGAGAGCCATAGCTGCTAAGATATATGCTGGGCTGAGAGCTCATCAAGGGAACTACAATTTCCCTAAGCACTGCGACAACAATGGGCAAATTATGCTATGCGCACGTGCGCACCTTGCAAGGTGCGCACGTCTCTAAAACGGCGTCGTTTTCCCTGAAAACGACGCCGTTCTAATTATAAAAAAAAATTGTTCGAAAGGCCGTTAACAGCGTTAACAACGTATTCATTATGAAATTATGAATGTAGAGTTATGACATTATGAATGTACAGTTATAGAATTATGAATGTACAGTTATGGAATTATGAACTTACAATTATGAACATAGAGCTTCGAAAATTATGAATGTTCGGTATGGAATTATGAATATACAGTATAGAATTATGAATGTACAGTTATGGAATTATGAATGTACAGTTATGAAATTATGAACACAGAACTCTGACATTATGAACTTACAATTATGAACATAGAGCTTCGAAAATTATGAATTTACAGTTATTGAATTATGAATGTACAGTTATGAAATTATGAATGTACAGTTATAGAATTATGAATGTACAGTTATGAAATTAAGAACACAGAGCTGTGAATATATGCTCCTATAACGAAGCGGTCTGAAATTAAAAAAAAAAAAAAAAAAAAGATAACGGTGCCACTGACGGCACCATTACCGTGCCCATGATGCACTGGGCACGAGTCCACAGCATAACGATCCACAACAATGAGGTCCTCAAGGCTCTCTGTCATGAAGCAGGCTGGACCGTCGAGCCCGACAGCACCACTTATCGCAGGGTTCTTCTTCTTCTTCTTCTTCTTCATATATGTGAAATCAAAGAATGAATTTTTGTTCACTTTATCTCTGCTAATGGGATTTAACCTGGGTGCCATAGATCTAGATATTTACCGACATGGGTTTGCTTTGTTTGGATCATACATTGATGCCTGATTAGCTTTTTCCAAGATTTGATCCAGAAAAGATTGGATTCTTTCTTTGATATATAGGGCTATATGCTACTTTTCCTTTTCCTGTCATTGTATAACCCATGGCCCTGCTTTTCAACTGTTTCTCCGCTGAATTTATCCATATGTCTCCTCAATTCTTGAAAGATTTTATGGATTACACACCTTTCCAAAAATTCATATCGATTGGGTTTTGTTTACAGCTAGCTGTCGACATTTTTTTACAGAGGAGAAAGGCTGAAGATGAGAGAAGTAATAGGGAAAGAAAACAAGAAAGCTCATCGGAGAAGCCGGAAATGGGGAGAAGTGATCGGAGAAGAAACAAAAGATAGTAAAATGTTTAAAATACCCTATTTATTTGACCTATTAAATTTTTTCGGTGAGATTTGGCAGGCAATTTGGTTGGCGTGATCAAAATTGCATAGTGAAGGTACTAAATTAACATTTTTTAAAGTCAAAGTGTTGCAATTAACACAATTTCAATAGTCAGTAGATCAAAATTGAAATTTTCTCTTTTAAAGAAATATATATTATTTTCTATTATATATTATATTGAATATGCACAGATCTTTATTCGTGTGAGAGGCCGGATCAAGTTAAAAAATGTAATAAAAATCATAAATAAAGTATCCATTATTTATAAAGGAAATAAAGTATTACATTTTCCATATACTTCTCTTATAAGTATTACATTTTCATCAAATTCGATTTGTTTTACTGGACCGAATCATCTTGTAAAAAACTTTAATTGGATTACAAAATTAACGGTTTCAACAATAATTCAATTGATACAACGGGTTAAACAATAATATTGTCATGCATGATTATAAATATTATGCCCGCATGAGCAGCTCAACTTGTTCATAGGAGTAAAGTTTGGAAAGAATGACCAGAGATTATTGAGTCTCACTAGCGATAATGTGGAAGCAATCTCTCACGTAGTAAACTGATTTACAATTATCCTCCCAGATGCTGGGTCGTTATATCGTGGACCGCGGTGCATAATCAATTATGCACCGCGTAGTGTTAACGGAGTGACACTACAGTGTATCTAAACCGACAATGTCTCGCATATTATTTTTATATTATCAAATGAAAC